TAATTATGAGCGAACGTTTTGCGTTACGTTAATTACCTGCCTATTTTCCATTCATCAACCCTCCTCCTCTCCTATACACGCGTTCATTGTTTATCCTCGTTCGGGATAATTTCTGCAATTATAAGGGCAAAAATAGAGGAGCGACGCGTTGCGCAATTCAACGATAGAGTCATTTCGTTCCTCGAGACTATTAATATTAATTAAATAACGACGAGAAAGTATAAAAATATTCGATAGGAATTCTCTCTCTCTCTCTCTCTCTCTCTCTCTCTCTCTCTGTCCATTTTTCAATCGTCGACTCGAAGATTCCCCCTCGAAAAATTCAAATTTAAATTTTATCGAAATTTTCGATCTGAATCGAATCTCGTATGAGTATCGCTATACATTCGAATGAAATTTTATCATCGATGGAAAAGTATTGTATCGATTATATCCTCCTCGAGATCGAAAATCTTTCGATCGGTTTTCTTTATCCTTCGAATCGGATTTTTTCTACCGAAGATTAGCCAACGAAGAGGGTCCCAAAGAGGATCTCGTTACGTAACGAGAGAGAGAGAGAGAGAGAGAGAGAGACGATGACACGAAGCGATAACACAAAGTTCAAACACGGAGCGAGAGGGCGTGCTTGTATCTACCGTGGCCGCGGAGTGGAGGAGCAAAACCCGCACCGCGAATAATGTTGCCGTAATCCTTCCAGAAAAACTCGCTCTCCCAGGAGAGGACTGGGAACGGTGGTCGTTGGCCACCGCGAAACGGCTGATTTCAGCTGGTAATTCCGAGAAATGAGGGGCTTGTGGCCGGTGATGCTGATTCTGGCAAGGATCCTCGAGCCGCTCCTCGGGGACGACGGGTGTCACCGTAACGACACCGACCACGCCATTCCTTGTCAAAGATCGCGGGAGTTGCTGCTGTCCAGGCGGAGGCGTCTCGCTTTTCCACAGGGCAGCACGTTCGTGGTAAGTATCGGCAGTTTGGTTTCGAGTGGCGCAACCAAGTGGGGAAAAGTGCGTTCTCGGCAGAATACGCGAATCGAAGAATCGTTGGAAACACACAGTGTGAGAATACGAGGATAATCGCGTCGATTTCACGATCGGAGGAACGGTTTTTAGGAACCGGTGTGAATCGGTCGTTTTCTTTTCTTTTTATCCTTTTCTCGTTTATTCTCGCGAGCGAAGAAGGGAGTCCATTCTTCGGATCGATGTGCTTGGTTCGATTCGCGTTGTAAGATGGCAATGAATTTTGGGATTTTTTTTTTTTTTTTTTTGTTTCGTTTTTTCTCAGTTGACAGGGTCCATCTTGCAACCGATTCCCGTCAGATTGCCGAGTAATTGGAATCTGGTGTTCGAGTTCGACATGATCTGGCCTATACCGACCACGGAGGATTATAAGAGGAAGAAGAAGTACAAGAAGTACAAGAGGAGACAGTGGATGGTGAAACGACGTCATCGGCGAGAGTTGTACGCCACCTTTGAGATGGCGTTGAACAGGTACGAACAGGTATTCCGCGTACTTTTTGCCTCGTCCACATTTCTCCCAAGGGAAACTTGACTTCCAGCCAAAACTTGCCGGGAAGAGAGTGCACGCTGAGAACGATCTGCGAGGCGAGAACTTTGTTGAGTCCACCTGGCGATTCCTTCGTGGAAGATGCCCTCCGATTGATATTAAGGTACAATATTTGCTCGAAGTTGTATTGTATCGAATAACCGTTATCCACACGTTTATTTCTTTCTTCTTTCTCTTTTCTTTTTCTCTTCTTCTCTCTCCTTTTTTTCTCTTTTTTTTTTTAGCAACGTCGACAACGTGAGACGAGTCGATTCCTACGACGTCGCTTATAGAACCGAGACGCCTTGCGAAGTTGCTTACCCCTGCCCTGTTTCTCTCTTAAAGCTGCTACTGTCTCATTTGTACCATTCCAACGATCTAGGTTAAGAATAAAGCTTTTCTTATTCTAGAAAAAGAAAAAAAAAGACTCGTGCTCCATCCTCCAAATCGGATAATTCGATAATTCGAGCGACAAGTGAGAGATACGTCGATCGAATAAATCTAATCCTATCTATTCGCGTCATCCAAAGCGAAAAGAAACGTTACACAAAGGAATGAATCTGCGCGAGAGGAAAGATTCCGAATTCGGGATGAATTTCAAGAGAACTCGTCGACGAAACAACGTGGCATAAAGCATGGCGTAAAAATGAAAAATCGTCTCCGCTCTTCTTCCTTAAAGTTGAATTAAGGAAAAAAGGAATTTCGAAATACGCGGAAATCTCTCGTCGAGAGTATTTCACATAATAATAAAACGGGACTTTCCCTCTCCCACCCTCCCCTCTCGAAGAAATTACGAAAGCAACGACCGAAGACGAGGCATTCAATCTCCCGGAAATTCTATCCCGTGGCGAACAAAGTTTTTACCCCGGGCTCGCGCAAGTTTTCAAAATTCTCGTCAAAAGTAATCGCGCTCGCCGTCCACCGCGCCGCGATTCCATCTTCGGCTCCGATATTACACGGAGAACCGTATCGATTGTCCACGCGGTTGCTTCCCCGTTTAATAAAGCGAAACCACGGGGATCCAATCATTCGCCCTTCTTCTTCCTCCTCTCGAAATTCGGTGGACGAGCGCTAATTTTTCCTTCCTTAAAGAGCTTCTTCTCGTGCAACTGGCGTGGAAACGAGTCCCGACGGGCGTATTTCCACCGCTACGCGACCCAATTTTCCACCTTCCACTCCTATCGAGGGGAAACCGTCCGAGACATTTCCCCCCTTTCCTTTTCGAGAACAGTTACTTTTTTTTTCTTTTTTTTTTTTTTTTTGGTCTCTTCTTAGTTCGAACTAATTGGAAATCAAAACACCGTATATACGGGGCGTCGAATTAGCCTGTGCGTGGTAATCGAACTCCAAAGTCTGTTTGAAGTCGCGTTCGTTACGGATGGACGTGTAAAGTCGAGCAAATTATCGTTTCGATCGAATTATCGCGTTGAAAATATACGGTACTTTTCGATGTTTGTTAAATTCGTATTCGACGCTCAAACTTTCCTCTCCTTTCCTCCCCTCTTCTTCTCTTCCATGCACGTGGCAAGTTTTCGAAAGTTCGAGATAAGGTAGTTCTTTATATCGGATGTAATCGGCACGTGGGGCCAATGAAAAAGGTATCGAAGGAACTTTTTTCGAAAAAATTCCCTACCAAACCTTTCCACTCTTTTTCCACGCGAAAAAGTCCCCTCTAGAAAGGGACGTTTCTCGTCCGTTTTGTCGTCGTAACAAGACGATAATACGTGTTTCTCACTTAAGGTTAGTGAAAAAATTGTTCGATCGGCCACGTTTGTTAAAGTATTTGTTAAAAATTTTCTGACAACCTATCCTTTCCCATCCAACTTTCGATCTCCTCTCGATAAATTTCTTAAACGCCTCCTCGAAAACCCATAGTGAACGTCATGATCCACGAAGTTTCCGCGAAATTATCCAATCGATCCAAATTTTCTCGTCCAACCGCGAAAATCCGCATCGATGGGATCACCGTCCGAGATGCAATCATCTTCTTCCCATCTTTCTTCCGCGTGAAATTTAAAATTCCGATCGCGGCACGCGAGACGCGAAATGTCAAGCTGGCAGCCTGGATAGCGGTGGCGGTAATTAGCACCACCCAACGTGCAGTCTCTTCACGTTCGGTTTCGAGGTAGTCGTTAATTGTTGGGCAAACGAAGGGGGGGATGGCGCGCTGCTAACAAACTTGACAATGGCCGCTCTGCTCTCGAAATAGTAGCAATAACGCAGCCGTTTCACACTTGCCTTATTCTTTGGGAAGACGTCAGCGGAGGATCCTCGGTGGGTGGTATCGGTGAGTGGTATACCAATTTTACGTACCATACCATTTTTACGTACAGAGATTCCGTACAAGAGTTCCTTTTCCTTTCCCTCCAATTTGAATTTGATATACGCGGTATACACGCCGGAATTTGGAACAAGCGAGAATCAACTTTTCTTCAGTTTCGTGAGGTGTACGTATACGAGAGGATGCTTTTACTTTTTTCCTTTTCTTTTAGACAGTGAAAAATTCTGCAAGAAATTTCGAGTACGCGCGTTACTCGGATCTTTTAGGATATATATATATATATTATATAGTTATAATAGTTGGTGTTTTTCATCGTGATTTCTTCCTCGCTTCTAATCTTGAACAGACGTAACGTCTTTCGGAAGAATAGGAAATTTATACATATATATACTGGATGGATGGACTCCTCCTCCTTTCGAATCTTCCTTCAAACTAGATTAAATGAAAAATTCGAAAATTTTCAAAAGTCCATTTCACATCCTTTCTCTAAGAATTCTAGGACGTGCCAAATTTTTTCTCGAAATCGAATCTCGTCCACTTTTCGTCTTTGCTTCTTCCACGCGATCCGATCGGAGGAAGTCTTCGATCTTCGATATTTATTTCTCGGCCGATCCTTAACGAGGTGGCCGCCCTTGTCGAGAAGGGAAAAACGAGAAGGGAAGAAACGAGGCGGTTATGCCAGGGTAATACGGTTGCCCGATAAGTGAGATCACGTCGTTGCCATCGTTCATGCCGAAACACTGCCGCTGCCACCCCCTCCCCCTTCTTCCGTGTTTTCCAGTTATCGGCCACCGTCACCTATCGATCATTTTCCCCGACCCACGCCGCCCTTCCACGCCGGGGCTAACAATTTCCTGTTTCCTAAAGAGTTTACCGAACTGAGTTACAAGATACTTCCACGGGGAGGAGGATCGATCTTCCCTTCGTGGGAGGGAAGAGGAGGGGGAAGACTTCATCCCTTCCGCTTGGTCTCTCCCCTTCTCCCCCTTTTTTTTTATTTTTCCATTAACGGAGAAGAGATTTTTTTTTTTCGCACGATCGTTTATCAACCGGGACGATTCTTTCGATATCAAGGGGATGGAGGGAGGGGGGAAGAAGAAATGTTACACACGTGAAACGAGAGCTTTTCGCTATTTATAGTTGTTGCTCGATGCCCAGTTAAATCGCGCGAGACGAGTTTCGAAGATCGCGTATATCTTCGATCGATAAAGCGATGGTGGTAGATGGAATATAGTTTGTCAATTAAGCAACAAAGGAAGAAGAAGAAGATCAGAATTATTTCCTTTCTTTTTCCAATTTCTTTTTTTAAGGGTTGTCTCCCCTTTTTTGGAAAAGGGTCTACGTTCTAAGTGTTAGAGAGAAGAAAGAGCCAATCGTTAAAGACTTTTCGATTTCCAAAAATATATATAATCGTAAAGATGTGCGTAGATGAAGTAAATTTTGCGAATCGATACGAAACAACGACGAGGCTCGAGATCGATCACCGGATGAAATCGTAGAATCGGAGAGGAAAGCTCGTCGAAAAGCTCTTCTAGTTCGAAATTCCTCCTCTCTCTCTCTCTCTCTCTCTCTCTAATTGGTGAACGAGAGATTCGAACACGAGGACGATCGAATGATTGGATGTGCGCGCTGTGACGCTATCCACTGCACTGTCACAGATTGATTTATAGCAGGTCGCAGGAATTCGATTTAGAAGTTTACTTGTTAGTTGCTTCCTTAAAGGTGGATCAAGGAAAATTCCATTTCATTCTCCGCGTGGTATCGTGCGACAACGGGCGATCGATCATCGATCGACGAGAAAAATATATCGAGCAAATTTATCTTGGTTGTCTACGATGGACATGGAACGAGGAAAACATTCGAAAATTCGCGCGCGACAAAAGCATCCATCTGCCCCGAAAATCATCTGGTTTCGCGGGAGTCGTTTATTGCATCGCTTAGCGACATTTCGGTGGCGCTCGTTTTTCTTTCGACCTCGTTTTTGACGGATCGCAGCGACGATTCACGAAATTGTTTCTCTTCCTTGAAATATGGCCGCGTCCAATGCTCGCGAAAATGCTCGACGATCGATATCGGTATGCGTATGTGTGTGTGTGTGTGCGCGCGCGCGCGCGTGTGTGTATTCAAAAGTCACCGATAAGTTTCTTCGACAACTCGGAATCAAGTTAAATAGTTAAAAGTTGTCGACCGAATTTGCAAATTTTCGCGATTTCTCGTTCGATGATCGTGATAAAGTTCCATATTTTCTTCCTCGATCGAGCCGAGCATAAATAATCGATAGAAAATATTTTTAAAAAATCCGTTCCAACGCCCGCACGCGATTCGATTTCGAATCGTTTCGTTGAATTCGTTTCAATTCGTTGCGACGACTTTGAAAAGGAATTTGATTTTCATTTAAAAAAATCATTCGAATTTTATCCGAAACAGTTTTTCGATAAAAAAACTGTTGCGAGAGTAAACAAAGCGATTCCACGCCCCCTCCCCCCCCCCCTCCCCGTTGTACATTTGTCAGGAGGATAGGAGAAGAGGACGAAATAAAATAACGATTTTCAGAGAAATCAAAACATTCGGTGTGAGATGAGAATAAAATCGAACGTTCAATGGCCGAAATCTAGCCGAATTGTTGATAATCCGTTGAGTAAATCTGTCGATAACGAGAATAATCTGTCGAGCAATCTGCTTGCGACCGCCTGTTAACCAACGTAACGAGCCGTTAAAATAAAGTGAGCGTCAACAAGCGTTTCAAAAAAAAAACTCTCTATTCGTTGTCTCGTGCGGAATATATATATATATATATATATAAATATTTATACATCACCTACTTCTCTCTTAATTAAAATCGAAATATCATGGAACGAGACCGATCCGTACAGGATTTTCAGCCTATTCGAAATCGTCAATATTTGTACACCCTTCCCCCCCCGATCGAGGGGGGAAACATTTTTCCAGCCAGGATGGAATCGCGTGTGCACTATTCAGATGGTACGCAAAGTTACACGGAGGGCAAATCGAACGAACGAACGAACGAACGAACGAACGAACGAACG